AGGACCTTGTCCAGGCGGGTCTTGAATATCTCCAGAGAAGGAGACTCCACAGCCTCCCTGGGCAGCCTGGGCCAGGGCTCCGTCACCCTCAGAGGGAAGAAGTTCTTCCTCATCTTCAGACGGAACTTCCTGTGCCTCAGTTTGTGCCCAGCTGACGTACAGCCCTGGCTTGGCTTCGTGCAAGCAGCCCTTCCACCATTCGCAGATCCCAGTTCTCCCCGGGCTGGGGAATTCATCTTTTTAGGAGATCCCTACAGTGTGCAGTGCGGTGGGCTGGTGGTTGGTTGCCCCCCCGCCAGCTCCAGAGCACTGCAGGAGCCTGGTCCCTGCGCACCACGGCTGCTTCACGCTGCCTGCGTCATCAGGAAGCAGGAGATGCTCTCCTCCGAGGAGTCATCGTCCTGCCCAGCTGCTGCAGCAGTCTTAAGCCCTCTTGGTTTGAGACTTCTATTAGTGGTTTGACCTGATCTATTCTCTGTGTCTCGACAAAGCACTGTAAAATATTACTTCGATTTTGTTACAGGGAAGCGGGAAGAGGTGACACAGCTACCCCAGAGGCTCAGCCGCAGGCTGTTCTTGGTCCTCGGAGCTTACGCTGAGGCTCTTCTCGTCAGCTGGCTGACAGTCGTGTGCCGAAACACCGCGAGCCTGCAGCCGCACGCACCAGTACCTACGCTAGCAGCTGCTTCCGACATCAGCAGCGCAGGGGAAGGTGTACATGGGGTTTTCTTCCAACCACTCTTCACAGCACTCAGTTTAGGGTTGTTTTTTTTTTTTTTGAAATAGCAGAAAAACCTCCCCACCACTGCCTACTGGCCCTACAGCCCCCTTTCCATTCCTCCTCGTGCCTGCTACCCGTTTCCTCCGGAGAAAGCGCTGCCTTGCAGCACGGATCCGTACAGTGCCGTGCCAGCAAAACACCCTCAGGCAGGCAACATCTCTCCTAAAAAAGCCCAGTGAGGCATCTGTTTCGGTCCCAGGTCTGACACTTCTCTTCAGGACAGACCTTCTGGACTTTCCCTCTTGGACAAAGTGAAAACCGCAGCAGTGCACACGCGGACCCCTGGTGTCACGGGGGCATTGCGCAGAGCCACCCCCGGCTGGAAAGCAGGGAAGGACACGGAATCCTGAAAGATCCCGCCGCCTTCTTCAGGTCAGTCCCTGCAAATCAGAAGGAACAGAACCGACACAGACAGGGCCTGTCGCCTTTCATCCGTTCCCAAGGTGCTCTCGCTGCTCTTGGGTGCGTCTGCGCTCTGTGGCGCAGCGGAAGCAGTGGGTTTTGTCTGAAGACAGAGCTCAGGCTGCACTTGTAAAACCACGTTTAAATTGTCATGATTGTAGAAATTTCTACAAACTGGGGTTTTCTGGGTGAAAATGTGCCCCATAACAAAAAAGCATCGCTCTGTATCTCTCACCATGGGAGTAAGAACCACTTCCTCAAAACAAGCAGCTTAGGGAGTGAATTCACTACTTGTGTATTAAGTAGAGATTAAAAATATATACACCTCCATAGATACACACATGTAAAAAATGTTAGTACCTTTAAATAAACAGTATGTTTTATACTGTGACTATACAATAATGAGCCACATTTGTTTGTAAAAAAACATTAAAACATCAGATGTTATGTTTTTGAAATCTTTAAATACATATTTCTAAAAACCAGAGTCCCCTCATGCTGAGACCAAGACTACATTTGTTATGCTGGATTTTACAGATTTTTTTTTGCCAGCCCCCTCCACCTTTCAAAGTTTTAATTCTGTTGAGCAGTTTGCGTCTCTGATGAGGGTCGTAACAGTCATAACCGACAAAAACAAGACAGATTCATCAGTTTATATTTAATAAATAAATTTTTATTTAAAAATATTCTCTCATTTTTTCACAGTTTCAAGTCTGAAAAAGGTAATACTATTGTTGATCAATTCAAACACGGCTAAAACCACTCCCCCTCAGGGTACGTCAAGCCCCAG